TGAAAGCGTGAAGTGCAAGACCTCGAAACTAGCAGGATTAATTATTTGCGATGTAAGTTTGAAAATACTCCTAACTAATATGGTGTTCAGTTATGTCGCCTATTGAGAGAGTCATCAACGTTTTAAAAGCAATGGATGCAGAGGTGGATCATCAGTATGGTAAGTGTAACTGACGTCCATTCACTTTTATCTCTGCACTAACTCACTATCCTTTTGCTCATGTAAGTCGTTTAAAATGTTACCATAAGACGGTAAGCGTGTCAATATCATTTTGCGAAGATGTATGTAATATGGAAGCAATTCAGTATAATTTTGACCGTGAATAACAATAGCGATTGGGTCACAATCAATTTTGTCAGTGTGTGACCTAACATCTCAGATGAAACCCAAGTTCTGTAACAATGATGACTTCAGACGTATATGAATAATATCACATATTCAATGATTTTACGTGTTCAACATACTTGAGGAACTCATCTAGATACGTGAGATCAGTTCAATCCTCCGAAAGACTGCATAACTCCATGGCATTTGCAGTGTTGATACTTGTTTAAAAAGGCATATATTTGTGCACGGATTGATTAAGAAACATCTACATTGCATCACTGTGTACATAGTGCTGGCTACTGATCAATGTTTGGAAGATTCGTGAGAATATATTGTGCGATGAGTGATGTAAAATAGGTGACTGATCAGTAATGATACAATTATGACCTTGCTACTCTACATCGGTCGAAAGTATTTTATGCACATCAGCGCTGTATGCTTCATCAATAATCGACTTCATCGAGTATATACTTTGTGTTATTTACATCTATTCCTTCAAATCACTCCAAATAATCATCAACTCAACGTATACTTTCCTTGTAGGAGTCTACAATGAACTCTGAGAATGGGACGGAATGCACTGTCGTTTCATTTAATAACACTATTTAGTTTGTAGCAGTAGTATCAATACTTTAAAATTGTTTGATTAAATGCAAGTCTATCACGATATTTTTTGTTTTCTTGATCTACGCGAGATGCTGGAAATAAATTATTGAGTGCAAAGTGCTTTGTGATTGCTTGTGTCCTTTCGGTCCTCAGTTTATGCCTATTTCAAAGGTCAACGCAGAAAATCCCAGTCTTCCTCTCTTTTCAAATTTCCGGCTCACCAATCTTCATCTGATTCGCATGTTACTCTAAACAGTGGAGTCGAAGGATCCAAGGTATTAAGGCACATTCAATGTGATTCATTGGATGAAATCTAGATCGAATCCCGTTTCTTATGTATTGTGTGTTCCTCGGATAATAACTAGGCTCAAACCGTTACTTGAAAGGCCGTAGACACTAATGGATATGAATTCGTTGGCACAAAACTAATTACTGATAATCTGGTCAATACTTTATCTCTTATAGGTGTGGATCTCGCTTCACAATGTCCACTAGGTATGTTGTTCTCATCGTCAGTTGACGTAGATAAACAGGAAGAGTAATGACTCGAATCCTTCTGTGAGTGCAATGTACCACTATATGTCGGCTGACCTGAAACAAGAAACATCTGATTGCCCGATAGAGCTACTGTAAGGAATTTCTTCGGGTGCCAGGATAAGTGAAGTATTTGTAGCGTGACGTCGAGTCCCAATTGACTATGAACACCGCTAACAAAGAACACGTGCCAAAGAAATCAGAAAGCGAAGCTCGAACGTAACCAGATTTATTCGGTTGGCGATCTCATGGTATCCAATAAATACCGAGATCGTGCAAAGAAATGGTACAACCGAAAGCAGGAGAATGGAGTACGTGCAAACAGTACCAAAAGCCACGGAACAATGATGGGAGATAATGAAAGCACAAAATGGCTGTAATTAGCACAGTTAAACAAAAGCACATTAAAACAAACACTGGTACGGTTGGTCATAATAATAATTGTTTTTATTAACCCATTCGTGTTCTTGTGATAAATGTGAGTCATCACAGGAGCCCCCCGCTAGAAAGGGTTTACACTTTCGATAAATAGCGGTTTAGATCGTGGGACTGATCGGCTGACGAGCGATTGTAGG